GTTTCCTGAGGGGTGGTGGTGCAGCAGGACAGCGCAGCAGGAAGCCTAGGGGGCATGTTAAGGCTGCAAGAGTGGCCTTCCAGGCTGGAGCTGCTGCACCACTGCCCCTCAGGAATGCTGTGGGGCCATGCTCACTGCGCAAGGTGGCAGCAGCAACACCTCAGATCCAGCATCACCAGCTGCAGCTGCCATGGTGCCTCCCCAGGCCAAGCCAGCTCTACGTTCAGGGCTGAACCAGGCCCTGCACAGTCCCAGCACCATGGGTGGGAGGGGAAAGGATGAAGTGCACCCAGTGGAGGCTGCCCTGCTGGGACCATCCCTTCCCCCTGGGTGAGCTGAGGAGGACCCAGCCTGGCAGTGTGGAGGAGCCTTCCAGGTCTGGGTCACAGCAACACAAGTGCAGTGGGAGGTTCAGGGAGCCTGTTGCCCTGCCTGGGCCCCACTATTGACGCGGGGGGGAGTGGGCAGACCCACTGCAGGGCCTGGAGTCTTGCTGGTGGTGGCCAGCATCTCCTTTCCTCCCTCCTCTTGCTGGTGGGATCCAGGCACAGGATAAGTCTGCACCCCTGCCTCCATAGCCCCAGCTCCTGCCCATGGGAGGATGAAAGCTGTGGCTTTGCAACTGGGCAGTGCCCCCCTACTATGGCTGGGGGCCCCCGCCCCCGGCCAGCGGCTTGGGGCTCATGCAGTACTGGGTGCATGGTCAAGACATAAGGGCCAGGCTGTTCCTGCCAGAGTTCACTAAACTAAGTGTGCACTATCAGTTTAACTGATAAAATTAGAGGAGGTTAAACAGATAATTTTTTAATGATATTTACATCCCTAGTTTACAGCTGTTTCAGCTCAGATGAGGCTAGCATCCAGCTTGTAAATGAACTAATTCTTGGAGTCATGAACATGACTTATATACAGAATGGAATAAAATTGTTTTTGCTTTTACAGTTTGTCTATACATATAGCAGTTCCTTTAAATTAAAGGTTTGTATGATTATTGAGGGAATGAGTATTTTTTTCTCACATAAAGGAGCATTGTCAAGCTGTCTAACCCTGAACCACGAGCTTTCTCCAGGGGGATATGAATAAAATTTTCCAAGGAAGGAAGCTACTGCTTCTTCACAAAAGCTAAATATAGGTGTTTGGATAGACAGTGTGTCTCTTCTTAAAAAGGCTAAATTTCAAGTTCATATTTTTGTATTTGACACTCTTGACCTAATCTTTTAAACTATACAATTAATTGTCTTAGCAGATCGTTCTTAAGTTGACTTGGGAAAACAGTGGCGGTGACATTTGACATGCTCCACGAAGGTCATATTAGCATCTTTTACTAGTTTTCTGGCATTTAAATGAATGCACTTGCTAGTGTTATTCTACTGTTTATAGTAAATATGTCCATTTGATACAAAAATAAATATGCATAAAAAGTTGATGTGCATATCCTCTTGTAATCAGTATATTTTATTTGGCAAGTCAACCACACTAAAATGAGCTGTGCTTCATTAATACATATCAGGATAATTCCATTAACTTTCATTCCATTCTTATGAATATTTTTATACTGTTAATATTTTGTACTCTTAATTATTTTTAGTATTGCTCCCATTACTGCTTTTTTTTTTTTTTGTATTAATCTTCCTGTAAATCATTCTTCATCAGAAGGTCATATTTGCGTTGACTTTCTGGAAAATATTGGACTTTGTTTTCAGATATCAGGTGAAAATTAACAATGTTCTGCTAATGAGGGCATTTTGAGCTTCCTGCTGCTTTTGGTAGCACTACTGGTAA